AAAAAAAAAAATGAAGTGTTAGAATTTCACGCTTTGGTACATATTTCTATTAATGACAAAAAATATTTTATTTAGGATTGTATAAAATGTTCTATATGATGTTCTCAATGATTAAATATATTTAAAATAATACTGTATTAACTGATAAGGTATTTATTCTCCAAGTAAATCGAACGACAAGAACTGTACTGATTGCGCTGTTCTATTACCCGATTCTCGAGTCCAGTAATTAATGGCCTTAGGTGACGCTTCCACGTGACAGACCAACGTGACGTTAGTTGTGATCGGAGCTCCGACCAGCTGGTTCGGCACTTGGACCATTGGGTGAACTGCAATCCATAACAACTCGATCAGTCGCAATATACCCGATCAGGCTCAGGACAACAATATTGCCGACACATCCGCGCTATCTGCGCGCGCGCGTAAATGCGGTTCTCCGAGAACTAATTTCTCTAATTGAACTTTATCGCTCGTATATAACGCCACAAAGGATATTTTTCCGATTTCTTTCAAAGCAGAGATTTCGGGATACGGGAACAACGGATGTATTGTGCTACTTGCTCCCGTATCCTGTTCAATCGCCTTACTTCGTGCCGTTACATTGTGGTCTCTTTGTGCGAGTGCGTCATTAGTGAGTTGCGTGCACTTTACGCTAATGAAACACGCTGACAGATTGTCATTTAGCGAGCGAGCAGAAAGGGGCACTCTTTGCCTCTCCCTCTTCCCTGTTATCTCTCTCTCTCTCTCTCTCTCTCTCTCTTTTTCTCTCTGTCTCTTGATAACGTCTCGCTACCTTTCGTTTCGAATATCGTAAGCAGCTTTCTGTGAGCTGCTTACGTTTTAACAGGCGACCGCGCCGAGCACTTCTTCTTCCGACCGAAGCTCGGCCAACGTTGTGTCGTCACAAAGCGCTTACAGTAGGTTTTACAGCGGCTACTTAGCTCCACCGCGATGTGAAATTTTGTTCCCAGGAAAATCCCCGTATCCCATTGAACTCTCTCATTTCCAACATACTCCAAACATATAAAAGAAATTTCTCTACATATCGTGAATATCATATTCTATGGTATTGTCTGATCATAGTCGTCATCGATAATGAAATTGATACAGTCGCTTATTACATTATATTCGAATAAGAAGAAAAATAATTTTTTAAATAATTATGAATAATAATATATTAGAGAAAGAGAGAGGGGGGAGAGAGAGAAAGAGAGAGAATAATATGAAGTTATTCTTTTATTAGTTTTGTACAATCTTGAGTTAACAACAAATTTAAATTGTTCTATAATAAGATTTATGTAAGACAATATTTGACGAAACATACAAACATACACTTCACTCTCCCTCTTCCCTGTTATCTCTCTCTCTCTCTCTCTCTCTCTCTCTTTTTCTCTCTGTCTCTTGATAACGTCTCGCTACCTTTCGTTTCGAATATCGTAAGCAGCTTTCTGTGAGCTGCTTACGTTTTAACAGGCGACCGCGCCGAGCACTTCTTCTTCCGACCGAAGCTCGGCCAACGTTGTGTCGTCACAAAGCGCTTACAGTAGGTTTTACAGCGGCTACTTAGCTCCACCGCGATGTGAAATTTTGTTCCCAGGAAAATCCCCGTATCCCATTGAACTCTCTCATTTCCAACATACTCCAAACATATAAAAGAAATTTCTCTACATATCGTGAATATCATATTCTATGGTATTGTCTGATCATAGTCGTCATCGATAATGAAATTGATACAGTCGCTCATTACATTATATTCGAATAAGAAAAAAAATAATTTTTTAAATAATTATGAATAATAATATATTAGAGAAAGAGAGAGGGGGGAGAGAGAGAGAAAGAGAGAGAATAATATGAACTTATTCTTTTATTAGTTTTGTACAATCTTGAGTTAACAACAAATTTAAACTGTTCTATAATAAGATTTATGTGACAATATTTGACAAAACATACAAACATACACTTCACATATATATATATATATATAGATATATTTTTTATAAAAGAACCGATTTAAGGGATGATAACTCTCAGACAGCACACAAAGGTCAAAAGACATTTTAATAAGATATCTTTAAGTCATTTTTTAGACATCTTTTAGGGATATGCGTTGTCTGGCAAACAACATAATATCGTTACAATTTCCTTTTATACAATATCTTGAGACTATTTTATATTCATAATAAGTTCTAAGAATTGTCTAACAATTCTGTATCGGTGTCATTAAAATATAACGTTTCGTAAGATAAGCCGTACTTTCGTAATCAAGATTAAATCGGCAATACTAATAGGCGGGTGACGATATTACGTACGTAGTAACAGAAAATTAAGATGATGGCGCGAGATAAACTGGCCGTTTCTTCGTCGAGTCTTTGGTCGACTCTTTATCTCGGGCGCCGCTTGGGAAATATATGCGTTCGCGACGCGCTTGTGCACACCGAAGATTCCAGCGCAGTACCGAGACGACACTTTTATATCAGAAAAGGGAATATACAAGAGCGTTGGACGGGGCAGGATAGCCATAAGTCAGGTATATCGATATTCTTGTATATAAAAATCTGGTAATTTCGACGTCGCGCTTTTTACAAGAAAGTCATTTCGTACGTTAAACAAGGAACGGTTTTTGCCAAACAGAAATCCGGATACGATATTAACAATTGCGATGCGATTACGAATAATTAGCAATTACGGCGCGCGTCGGTCATATCGGAAAACGCGGATGAGCTGGGAGAAAGTACGGGACAAATTATCAAAACGCGAAACACAACAATGGAACACTTCAGCGCGCGTTAACTCGAACGCGTGGACTCTCTCGGCAATTCCGGGCGAACAATTATGCACCGAATTGAATCACGTTTTCGCCCCTAAGCACAACCGCGCGTTATATCGCGAGAATTGATTTATGAATCCCTTCTGGTTGCGGCTGGGGAAAGAGAGAGAGAGTGCGTTTTAATTGTTTCGATTTGCCGGACGTGTTTCGCAAATCCGTCGCGTGATTTTCCGGCAGATTTACGCGCAAACTTTCGATCCATCCGCAACAGCACCGATTTCGCGCCACGCGGTGTACAGTGATGAATATTCGCGCTGGGAATTCTTCGTGTAACGTTTAGCCTGGTACGTGACGATAGGCGACGCGTTTGCCCGGATAACAAACAACGAGATCGCTCGACATTACTCTTAATTGTGAATGAGCCCGCGGACGCGAACGCCGGCAAACGCAAATACGTCGCGCATTTCGGCGTCGGTCAATTCGCGACCAAGCAATTGCACGGGATGCAAATTCTCCCTGTGGATTTTGCGCACCGACCGTTTATTGATAAACGTCGTCGCCTGATGTAAAATATATAAGAATATAAATATATCTCAAAGTCTTCGTTTATACAATCGATAATTTCCTGTAATAAATATAGCTCCTGCTTATATTAGATTCTTTAAATTGTTATATGCCTAGAGTGTCTCAGGATTATTTTCATAGATTCTTTGAGTTTACTGAATTTTTTCTTTTTAGTGAAATATGGAAATATAAATATTTCCAATGCTGATCTCAGCGTTAAATAAAGTTTTGATTAAAGGAAAATCAATTTGATTGACAAAAGAGTTTCCTTTATTATCTATATTCATACTTTTAAGAATCTTAAAGATTTTTGTAATATAGGTTTATATATCAGCATAGACTGCAGAATATATTCAGCGAAGAATATTTTTGAAAATATCCTGTTCACGTATGCAGTAACGTACGCAAGTTCATGCGATATCATCGATAAATATAGTTATACCAAAATAAACTGCTCGAACATCAATCAAATAAGTTCGCGGATGCGATATCTGTGGTGCAAAATAGACGGCCGATCGATCTGAAGCGAAGGACCGAAACAGGGTCGACCGCGAAGCACGAGCTTGCAAATAAGTATGGCACAGGCTAATTTCTTTCGGCGCCTCCGCTAATTAAGCGAAGCGAATGGCCCTCAAAGCGCTTATAATGCGGTCTGTGGCGTGAAATTGCATTCGTCGCGTTCATACTCCAATCTCTAATGCGGTGTAACAATTTAATGCGGCGTAATAATTTAATGTGCATTACGCAACGCGCGATTCTCGATATCACGCAAAATCCCTTCTAAATAGATAGTTCCAATATCGATTCGCAACAATTGAGTTGAATGATGTTTAAAAAGTAATATTCGCTGCAGTAAATCTTTGCCGTCAAGCTAAGGTAAAATCTGTGCCACTTTCCAAGAGAGAAAAATTAGATATTTTATGAGACAAAGGGAAGTTGAGTTGTTTAATTGATAGCTCTTAATTTATTATACGCTACACCGCATTTTCTCTAATCCAGTATTTTAACGAGCAGCAAAAATTACAGGAGTTTATCCCATTAGCATGCAAATATCTGGCCTCTACTTATTTAAGTAAAAGATTAATTACAGGGAACTAGACGAGTATTATATTACACATAATAAAAGTAATGAAATTACTCAAGTTTAATTTATCGCAATCCGCGCAAACGTTATTTTTATCATTATAACGGAAATACACGCCAGCACGTGTGTAATCCGGAGATAGTAAGCGTGGCGATATTAAGTCTACTTAAAAGGAACCAATAGCGACGCGACATAAAGTCAACTTACAAACGTTAGAGAGGGCCTGTTATTGTATTTCCGGGTCACCAGAGCGGCGACTTAGCTCGTGTACGGCTTCGGGTGGATGGGAAATTCGCGCGATCCGCGAGAGAGGCAAGATTTTCTCTCGTCCTTGCGGGCGCTCAAAGGACCCGGCACCCGGTATTTCTGCGGTGATAAGATAACGCTCGATCCTTTTCTATGGCGCTCGCGACGCGTACTATCCCAGCGTAATGGTTTTTTGTTAAGAACCGGTGTTAAGACTACCGTGTCGGAGACTCGGCGGCGTTACGGTATTTCAGGCATTGTGTTGCGGCATGTCGCGTCGCTTTTCTCAGTGGTCCCGTCTTCTCTCGTGTACAACGATATTTATCTAACGCGTAATTACGCGTCCGAGCTCCATGGAAAAGTTGCAAACGGAAGAAAGAGAGAGAGAGAGAGAGAGAAAGAAAGTCGCGGGAGATGTAACGGAGAAGTTAAAATGTTGGGACTAAGTTAAAACCGGAACGGACGGCGAAGGTGTTTAAAGTTTCCGAGTAAAGTTCAGCTTGTCACATCTTGCAATGATTAGATCAGGGCTCGGTCTCTCTTTTCCGAGTCCTTAACTAGGAAGGAACTTTCATTCTGTTGTCGCGTGGCTGCCGATGACGAGCGGGCGTGAGTCGCGAGTACGATTTTACTTGCGAGAATTTGGAAGTATTAACTATTTATGATTTTAATAATATCTTGATATCAATACATTTCGACGGTGACTGCGATAAGAAATTTATCTCACATAAGCAAAGTATTCATACACATGTCAACTGTATTTCTATAAAATATCTCAAACTTACGATAGGCTTTTATAATTACTAACACAAAATTTGAATTAAAAGTGATTTCCGAAGGAATTTTTAGCGGGGAATACAGGAAAAATACTTAAAAATATTAAGTGTATATGGATAATAAAGAAACTTCATGATATGTTCTGTTTACATAGTTGTTTGTTATGATTCCTGTTTCAGTGAAATGTTTTTTATTAATTTTTTCTCTTGAGATTTAAATTTTACGTTTTGTAAAATATTAATATTATTACTATATCTTACAAACTGTTGATCCTAGAATTTTTTTTATTATTTTTCCCATGTTTCTTGTCAAAAATATCTTCGTAATTCACAGTCAAAACGTAGCGCCAAAGTTATCGGAAACGTGCCCAAAATTTTATTGCAAGTGTGAAGATAAATAAGAGATGAAACAATGTATCAGGAACACATAAAAATAATCAAACATTGAAAATATCTGCATTGATATATCGACGACAAAGTAGCGATCGCGTAATCGCACGCGAACTGCCGATGATTTCAAACATTCTCCCGCGCTTTCAAAGGAACTCGGGCGCTTTGTCGTTCGTATCACGCGATCGTTTGAAGCAATCGGCCGTCTGCCACGGGCAGTTCGTATCCGCGAATGAATTGCCATCCCCTTGCATTACCGACAATACCTATGCCATGTTGGTCGTGCGAATTTCGCGGCAATAGCTCGCGCGCGGACGCGGCTTCATTTATATGACGTATTTCAATGAAACTCGATTATCCCGCGCGCGATCTTATCGCGGGATGCCTGAGGGCAGGTGCGAGATCGTGCACTGCGAGCGTATACGTACGTAGCTACATCCAATTTCCGACAAGGAGAATTACCTCCCCTCACTAGGATTTAAGGTACGGTCGGATTGGTCGTAACCGCGACTTAACTCGCTATCGTCACACTACGCTTCCTCCGCAATAAAGCTATTTCTTGGTATGTGTACTCACCTTTCTTTTACGCTCTTTTAACGAGTATACAGTTTCTTGATGTATGAGAATTTATTTTAAAATCCAACTTCTCGTTTATATAAAATATTCTTAGTTCTAAATCTACTTGATTATTGATGGCTGCAATCGCAGAAAATTGGAACAATCGCACCAGTGCAATTACAATAATTCTTTTGATTTTACATGTAATTATATAAATGTTCTTTGTTGTCATAGCATCGCTATTATTGCGATAAAATTTTCCTTAAATACGTCGAAGAACTTGAATTTTGTTTTGTTACAAATTGCAAGAGAAATATATATTATATATATATATATTTTTTTTTATTTTTTTTTGAGATTTTATATGTATTATATATTTTATTTTTTTGAGATATCATATGCTTGGTTTTCTTCATTTCTTAAAAAAGTAACTTTTTTATGATATGAAGGATACATAACCAAATCAATCCTATAAAATGATTTTTGAGAAATTAAGTTTACAACGTTCCTTTAATACAGCAAACGCCTTCATTTACCTCCTTCGCGCAATCTGAATGTAGCCTTATTGTGCACAACGTCTTCTCGCTAACCGTCTATCTTTTACGGCGGGGGTATAAATGCGAATGTGTTGTACCATCGTCGCAAGTGTAATTTTATTATCTCGCGCCCCTTTCCGACACTCTCCATCATCCTGTAAAGTCCTTCCTTCACTCTTGTCGCCGTCACGCGCTGTTATTTAAGCAGTATTTTACCTTTGGTCTTTTTTTTCTCTCTTTCCCATTCTCAGTCATGGTCCTTGTCATTCCCCGTCTCGGCTCCCTTTTCTCGAAAGAAAGACCCTCGGTTCCCTCCTGCCTTTGCTACAGTGAAATTATGCAAGAGAAGGTGACGATGGCTATCTCGTCGGCTACAGTCGACGCTTTTCTTCGTCGTTGCCGCGACACCTTATATTCCCCCCTTCGAGACGTCTCTCGTTTTACAACGAGAAGTATGTCTCGCGCGGATAAGGCTACTGCCGGCAGTTTGCGGAGTTTACACCTCTTGGACTCGATTGCTCGAGGAAACATTCTGGAGCTCGAGAAATCGTGACGCTATACAGCTAGTAAAAAAAAAAATCTCGACTGCTATTCGCGAACACGCTCGTTCTATTTTTATCTTACGATCGCCTTTCGCGGATTAGTCACTAGCGTTAAAACGAGAGCTTTCAGTGGTGGCACAAATTTACCAAGTTTTAAAAGATTGCTCTTGTAAATAACTTATATTGTTTATTTTATTGAATACTTACTTGATTATTATTGAGATTTAAAATGTAATACAAATTATTTATTTATTTTGTTAACTTTGAAATCAATTAATAATTATAAAAATATAATTATAATTATTTAACATCAAATCTGCCTTAAGTTCTATCCAGTCATTTCTGATAGATTTTTTAGCGTTGATTACGAATCTGGCCGTAAAAATGACGTATCATATCAAGTTTTTGAGAAAATCTCAATCAAAGTTGCTAAAATATGCGTTTTTAAGATTCGTAATCAGCGCTAAAAAATCTACCAGAAATGACTTGATAAAACTTAAGGCAGAAACAAAGGTCTCATTTTGTCGACCAGTGTAATTAGTAAATACAAATTGTTGAAATATTTTGTAAAAACGTTGCCATGTTTGTTTCTCATCAAATGTCTTACAATTTTTACGTATGCATATATATTTTCCTTTTTAATGAATACAACATTCCGTAAGAAGTAAGTCAGTTGTACATAGATGAGCGATTAATGATTAATGATAGCTCGTGTTATTGGAATTTCATAAAGTATACATATGACTTTATTGTGAACACAGTTGTAGATTTATAAATTTTAATTTGTAAAGCTCGCACGAGATTTTCATATATAGCTTGTTTTTTAATTTATTACAGAGCGTCCGCAATGTTTACTTTATAAATTTTAATGTATCCTTTGTGGTGAGCACGATAGAAATCGCACGACGAGAAATTGCACGGTCGTCTCTCTGTTATTTTTCACTTATCGTTAGAAGCGTTCGTAACATTTGAAAATTTTAGCAAATCTTGTTACTCGGCGTTGTTCGTATTTTACTACAAAATTATTGACAAAATATTATCGAAACTATACATTTGTGATACGGAAAAATTTCCTTCGTGGCAGGCGAGAAATCCGCGTGTGTTCGATAAAATAGTAGATATATTATAATACTTACAATGCACGTGTAGCATCATTCGTTTGCTGACTGACGGAGGCACTCCGTTGCTGGCGATGCATAGGTAGGCACCCATCTCGCCTCTCGTTACTTTCGACAAAGTCAGCGTTTCGCCTCCTGCAGTGGGTACTGCAATATGCAAGCGCAAGGAACGGTCTCAGAAGTTAGTTCGTTATATATAATCAAAGTGTACAACGTTAATACCTGATCGGCTTAATAGTTTAATACGCACAGACACAGAAATGTCCCCGTAGAAATTTACCGTTACCAAATTAAATCTATTTCCGATATAGTTTATTATAGAAGTGACAATTTTTGATTGCAAGAATAAATTTGCAGTACTAAATATAATATTATTGAAATTGACTTCGAAACGAAAATGGAAATATATTATTTAAGTACGCATTTCATTATTTTTGGGGGATATTGAATTAAAAATAATACACGTATATCAAAGATGAAAAGTCGTTTTTTCAAATAAAATTTTGTAACAAGTTCAAAAAGGAATGATTTTTAAATATATCGAATAAGCGATGGCCGCCAATTAAATTCCGTCCTTCGTATCCTGATACAAGCTATTCCGACGAGATCAATTTTAATTGTGCCGACAATTGCGCTTTCAGTAAAAAATCTGTTCGGAGAATATTGCATATCGTTCCCAAGAGAGAAGGGAGAGACCGGCTGAAACAAAATAAAATTTGGAGTTCCTTACTTTTTGTCTTGCCGCCGGAAATGCCGGCTCGCGAAATGATTTCAGTGCCGTCTTCTCGTTTCCACACGATGTCAGGCTTGGGATAACCACGCGCTTTACACACCAGCTTGGCGGAACCTCCCTCGGGTACCATCATGTCGTTCGAGGTCTCTTCCGAGATTATGTCTGGCGGTATTACCACCTCCAAAAACGCGCTCTGAAAATGCGTGAGGATAATAAATTATAACGCATTCGTGTGGGCGTGTGTATACGGTAAAAAAAGGATTACGAAATATGCAAAGAAAGCACGGATCGAATTAAAGTGGATAACTTTGAGAGTCTGAGATGGTAATCAAAAATTAATAAAATCAAAAAGTAATTTTTGCAAAGATTTTTATAGAAATACTCTAATATCTTTTTTCCAGTATTTTATTCGATAGTTTCATAATAATTATGAATTATTAATATCTATTTTTTTTTTTGTACTTGCACAGTACGTAGTCTTAAAAAGATTTATGAAGCTTTATCCTTTTTTACAAAACAAACTTTGCAACTTTTTAATTTGTTATACGTGGCGGATATTACGTACCTGGCTTTTCATAGGGTCCGTGTTGACCTGGCACATATAAATCCCGCGATCTTCCCGACGTGCTGCGCGAATGTTTAACGTCCACGTGTTGTAATCGCTGTGGGTCACCGACAGACGGGCGTTGTTTGTAATCACGTGCTCGTGAATCGCTAGGATTGCCTTGGTGTCCGCTTTGATCCATGCCACCTGGCCTCACAAACCCATTTTTTAGAGACAGCGGAATTTTTTCATGCTGATTTGAAACTTGTCAAAGCCTGCCTAATCTCATCGCTATGCGTAACTTATTAATTTACGATTCCTTTCTTACGAATTTTTCGTCGCGAATCTAACCATCGTCTATCCCGTAAAATATTTCGCCTATCGAGCTAAATTTCTTACAGTTTTCGCTGTCTTATATATAATTTAATCAACCCTTTCAAATTTGGCATACAATTTTTATAGAATCACTTTTTTATTTAATTAAGAATTGAAAACCCGATTCTTGATAAATAAAATATGTAAATGTAAATGACATTTGATTGGCTTTAATTATGTTAAATATGAATATTGAATATTGAAAGAGTTAATTACTATGCGCAGTTTGAAAATTATTTTTTATATCGATGTACAAAAATATAGGAAGTGTCGAACTTCCTGCTAACCTAAAGCACTTTTCTATCGCTTTTTTTTTTTATTTTCTCTATATATCTCGGTTACTTCTAAAATATTCGCAAGTACAATCTTAAGCTTCCTGTCACGATTCAAATATGAACTCGATTACGAGATAACGTACCTCTGCCAGACTGTGCGTAGAATGAAGGATATAAACACGGGACGCGCATTCTATTCGCGAGTGAATGAAATATTCGTATACATCATCTCGAAGGCAGGCATCAGAAGCCATATTCCACGAAAGAATCTTCTCTTTATGGCAAAGTCGCTCTGCTTCGGCTTTTCCGTCGCATATCTCGACAAGAAAACTGTACCGTTGCGCGCCACGATGGTCTGCCGCTGTGTAAATATGAAGAATTCCGCGAGCAAGAGCACGATAACCCATAGAACGTAACTTTTCAGAAAAATAAAGATAGATAGTCGCGAAAGATAACGGTTTAGTAGCAAAGTTCAGCTCTCACAGGATATAACATTATGTTTACATCAAACTAGAAGGAGCTTTATATTATTAGGTATAAAAATAGTAAAAGGATGGAAATATAATCGTCAACCAAATAAATATATTTCGTCCGTATTCCTCTCTCGCGTATTGGTATAATTTATCAGAAGTTCTTCACGCTCCCGTAAATGTTCTGCAAGTTATATTACTTCTGAAGTAACTATCGTGACTATTCCGAATGTGGGTTACCGCGTTTTAGCTCGCGATCCTTCGTATCATCAACGCTAAATTGAACTCTCGCCGGTTATTGCAGTTCGCCGCTGATATATGCCATTAATTAAACCCATTTTTTTTACGGATTAAAATCAATGAAGAAAGGAGAAAGGGCGGAGAAAAAGGAGAGAGAGAGAGAGAAAGAGAGAGAGAGAGAAAACGCAATTGTGACCGGTTAACACGTATTAAACATAAATCCGCCTTGCATCCTGGTCGAAGCTATTCTGGTGGAGGAAACTGCAGCGTGGCGTATCGCGAATATTCATCCTCCCCTCCCCTGTTCTCTGCCCTATTCGTCTCCCTCTGCACAGATATTATTGGCATGAAATTGAACCCGTACCATGTCGAATATCTGACCTCGCATCGCTCTGAAAGGCTATCTATCAACCGACAAAGGAGTTCCGCGGTTCTTATCGATAACCCGCGAGCGGAGTGTATAGAGGGCGGGCGCGGAGAGATGAAGAGGGACGTTTGCGGGAGAAGGGGATGATCTGGGATGCGAGAGAGTGCGAGTGTTTGGTAGTGACGGCCCTCTGAGTGCCTCCACTTATAATATATTATGCCGGAATATATAAGTGCGACCCCATTCTCCCTTTTGGTGCGCCCAGCGATCTTTCGGAGGTGGCAAACCACCCTCTCGAAAAAGAGGGTGCGAGAAAGTCACAGCGGGCGATAGATGCTCGCGACTCTTAAACATTTATGCGATATTATCATCAATTCATTCGATGATTAATTGTTGTAGATCGAATGAAAAAGGAGAAAACGTTCGAAACATCCGCGAAGCGATATACGATTTAAAGTCGTTTCTTAAAGTTAAAAAAACAAAAAGTATATTTTAAAGAAGCAAATAAAAAAAAAACAAAAGAGGATAAAATATTAAATATTTTATGAACTTTAAAATTGATGAAAAGTACAGTTGATATATGTGGGAGGAAGGAGCGAAAAATATTAATATGACAATAGCATTCGAAACGCGAAGCTGAAGGAAAAAATATTTATCCCGCAGTTATTGCCAAGCAAAATCGATTAGGACGGTTTCCTCGAATCCTTATTTCACAGAGCCCTGTGACAGAGACTCCTGGGCAAATACCCGATATCAAAATCGGTTGGAAGCGAAAGAACGTATCCATAGCAACGCGAACGGGATAAGGTCACGTAAGCACCAGCGACGACAACGAAACGAAAGCGCGGCACAATACATCGCTCCTTTCAAGTCGCGCATCCGAAAGTCAAAACTCAAAAGCCGGGCGATTTTGCTGGGCTCTCTCAAAAAGGAAAATCTTGTACGAGAACTGTCATTTTCTCTCCACGACATGGAGCATTGCGCGCGAATCTTCCCGGTCAGGAATAAATCGCAAATTTGCAGTACAATGAAGAAGGCAGAGGGTTTAAAGCAGGGAGAAATAAAGATAGGGGGACGATGAAGAGAATTTAAAGGGCGCGCCCTCGTATGGAAACGAGTCTCTATCTTAACGTAAAAACGCTCTCTTTACCTAATGCAGTTTCTTTTCCCGGGATACTTTCGTTTTACAGCCCTCTCCTTCTACGCCAATCTTCGTGGTCCTTTAAGAATATAGAAGGAGAAACCGCGAAGGAACTTGCGGTGAGTAACGGAACAGACGGATAGATAGACGTAAAGAGATTCGAGGATGAGGGAGTGAGTGGGTAACCTCCCTAGTCCGATATAATATCGCGTTACGTACACCTATTCCTCCCCTTTCTATCCCCCGCCTTTGGCGTTCCCTCCATTCTCGGCCCTCTTTCATATGCAAAACCATCGTCGGCGCTCCATTGTGGCGCATTGTGGGATCGGGAGCCTCGGTCCAGTCTACCACACCTCGTTTATTTCCCGCCACCTCCTCCGCGGCTCTTCAGAACCCCTTCTTCCCGAATCTCACTCTCTCTTTATCCCTTCTCATCCTTTGCGTTTTATTTTTCTCTTTCCAACACCGTCATCCACTTATAGAGCGCGACTCGTTCCTAAGTTTTTATTTTCTCGACTTTTGTCCGGCCGGCTGATCTAAGATACGGCTGTTCCCCTTTTCAGCGGCGTGTAAAATAAATGGATAAACTCGCTAATTAAAAGTTTCGCTTTGTTTTTCTCCCATTCTTGTTGTTGTTGCAATGCACGGTAGAACAACTTTGTCGGAGCGACTCTTTTTACCTCGCACACTAGCCCTTTCCATACTATCATAGCTTCGCACGGTTGAAATTCCAAGAGATAGTGTATTATTTTGTAGTTTTCGTGCACGATCGTTTCTCCTTTTTCCTGCTCCTTTCCTCTCTGTTCTCGTTCGACGCAACGACTTTAACCCTTTCAAAGTAATTTTTTTTTTTTAGTATTATATTTGTAATCGCGTTACGTACACCTATTCCTCCCCTTTCTATCCCCCGCCTTTGGCGTTCCCTCCATTCTCGGCCCTCTTTCATATGCAAAACCATCGTCGGCGCTCCATTGTGGCGCATTGTGGGATCGGGAGCCTCGGTCCAGTCTACCACACCTCGTTTATTTCCCGCCACCTCCTCCGCGGCTCTTCAGAACCCCTTCTTCCCGAATCTCACTCTCTCTTTATCCCTTCTCATCCTTTGCGTTTTATTTTTCTCTTTCCAACACCGTCATCCACTTATAGAGCGCGACTCGTTCCTAAGTTTTTATTTTCTCGACTTTTGTCCGGCCGGCTGATCTAAGATACGGCTGTTCCCCTTTTCAGCGGCGTGTAAAATAAATGGATAAACTCGCTAATTAAAAGTTTCGCTTTGTTTTTCTCCCATTCTTGTTGTTGTTGCAATGCACGGTAGAACAACTTTGTCGGAGCGACTCTTTTTACCTCGCACACTAGCCCTTTCCATACTATCATAGCTTCGCACGGTTGAAATTCCAAGAGATAGTGTATTATTTTGTAGTTTTCGTGCACGATCGTTTCTCCTTTTTCCTGCTCCTTTCCTCTCTGTTCTCGTTCGACGCAACGACTTTAACCCTTTCAAAGTAATTTTTTTTTTTAGTATTATATTTGTAGAAAATTGTATCTTTTCTTTTTGAGATAAAAGAAAAAATTTAAGAGAAAATTTCTCTATATAATTTGAGATAATTTATCAATAAAAGAGTTGCTTTTTTCCCCAATGTTTGTGGTTTTTAAAAATGTATGTCGCCAGGATATATAAGATCATACCCTGTATATATAATGTTAAAGGTACATTTTTGAAATAGATAATTTACATCTCATCTTTCTATTGAAAGGGTTAATTCGGGAATATGTAGGCGTTACGAACGCTGCGACTCTCCGACTAAATAATAATAGTATAACAATAGTACTTTCAGAGAACTGACAATTAAGTGAGAAAACTGGTCGATAAGAGCCAAGGTGCGAATTTTATTAACGAATATGCATTAATAATATACGTTTTGGACTGTTTTTTGGTCCATCTTTAGCATGGATGTAAATATATAAAGATTGCATTGAAATTTAAAAATTTGACATACACAATATTTGTTGCAGTCAAATTTCAAATTAGAATTAATAATCAGAAAGGAAGGCTCACTAAAATCACCGCGTAGAGTCTATACAAATTAGTGGACAACATCCAAACGCCATCGTCATACGTATATCCGTCGGTGGTTTACAATTTAATGATTCCAATGTAGTTTTTATATATTTATATCCATGCTAAATCCATCCTTGGCCTGTTTTCCCATTTAATTCTCCGACCAAAATCTATTTCCATAATTTATATTTAATTTTTATGCAATATTTAATAATAAATTAAAGAAAAGTAATGAAGAGAAGAGAGCAAAGTTTTTCAATAAAATTTTTATATATTTAGA